ATACCCACATCACACACACAAAAACCGACCACACACACACACACACACACACACACACACACACACACACACACACACACACACACACTATCACAAAAAAAATCTACTGACATTGCATACAAAGAAACCATCACAAACACGGATACTGACATATAAACACATGCAGACATTAATACTGGTACCGTATATAGTTAGCTTTTGTTTTGAAGTTTGAAATTTTGGCAAGTGGCCCCCCATGGGAGAATGAAATTTGTCCACTGGCCCCCAAGTGAATTGAGTTTGAGACTCCTGGTTTAAAGTGTATCTAAACCCAAAAGCAAACATGCAATATTAATCATTAAATGTAGTGGTCACATTTAGTTTTCTTTTTAATGTTGTTTTTTGTTTGTTTTTTTTTAACCCTGTATTTTCACTTAGTGATGCAGGCAGTAAGTATATTATTTTTCAACTTCCTTTAGCCGACCAAACTGTCCAGCAAAAGTGGCAGTTAGAGGGTTGAGGCAAACCATTTATAACACTTATAATGGTTAGCAATTCATTTATGTAAAACCTTTATCCCAGAAGGAAAAAAAGCTATTGCTGTAACTGCTTAAAAATGTTAGCTGAAGTTTGGCTTTCATTTGTTAGTCAAGTCCATCTAAGGGATCAGTCACACTAGATGCAGTGTATTCCGGCCCGATTTTGGCCTAGAACGCACTGCCTCGAATTGCAGACGGCTCACTTTTTACTGGGGCAGGAGGGGGCGTGGCGGGCCATTAAAGTGAACGGCGCCGTAGCCACGCCTTCCGGCCGCAATGCTATCCGCCGCACGGGATTGCAAGGCACATTGTGCCTGCGGTCCAATCCAGTGCGGTGCGATCAAAATGCTACATTTCTCCATTCACACTGCTCGATTATGTACGAAAAACCGATCGCATACGATTATCGTACGATAATCGTGCAGTGTATGGGCACCTTTACACTACCTTTCCCATAGGTTTACAGTACTGCTGCCCAAGGGTGGCTACACCCTAAGGCAGGAAGCATGTTACTGGTCGGGTCACCAGGTAAAAATAAATACCACCTGACCTGCCCAAATCTATCATCTATCAAATCTAGAAAGTAAAAGTTATTAGTAATGTAATTTTGGTAAAAAATAGCATTCTTCAAGCCACAGACCTATTTCGGTTACGACTTACATGTGGATCCATGCTAACAATCTTTTGTTTTCCTTTTTTTTTGTTTTTTGTTATTTACATAGGTTGTTCTGGTTGGTGATGTGTCTGGAGGGAGCAAAGGAGGTCGTATATTTCGATCTTCAGACTTTGCAAAAACATTTGTTCAAACAGATTTGGCATTTCACCCTTTGAGGCCTATATCTTACAACCCTGAAGATCCTACGTGTCTGCTGCTCATTAGTATGCATGTGAGTAGGACATGACTTGTATTTATTCTTTACTTGTAACGTAAAGCCCATCTCCAGGCAAAAAAAGTACTCTTGCAGTGGTGCTGCCCCTGCACTGCAAGGGTTAAAGAAGTATTGGAAAAAAATATTGCGTAAAATATACTCTTCCCAAAACTTAGAACCGTTGTGGGACACTGCAGTTTTTCCACACCTGCTCTCAAATAGTCATCCCAAAGGCCAACAGAAGGAGCTCACACAGCAGGCTAAGAGCAGGTTCACGCCATTTCCTGGAACGCACTGCATTGTGTTTTTCTGCGTTTTTGACTCGTTCAATTTTAGGTCTTGCTAGGGGACCTCTGCAAGACCTACAGATAGCCAGGAAAAGAGCAGCACAATGCTTGCACATAAGAGACATGAACTTACCACAGGTCTTTTCACTCAAATGATCATAGCCAGGGACAACCTGCACAGCAATGCCTCTCCACTTGTTCATCTTCCTATTATTTTTCTTATATTGCCCATGTCTCGGATCATACAGCTCTGGGTAGGCTTCCACAAGTTCTACAAATAATTTGGTGTCCAATTCAGCCATCATGGTTCCTATCTTCACAAATCTCTCTCTCCACAGAAGCAGAAAGTCCAGGGGTGATGATCATCCAAACCAGCCCAAAAAAAAAAAATTCCTGTTGCGTTCCAGTGCGTTTTTTGATGCATTTTTTACACCTTTGTTCACGTTCTGGTGCATTCCAGACCAGGCAAAATGTGACGCGCAGTATTTTCCTGGTCTGGAGCTGACTGCGATGGTGTGAACTGAGGCCAAGAACAGCATAGGGAAACATTGGGATGCATTTTAGGTCCAGAAACAGTGGTCTGGTCTGGAGGTGGTGTGAATGGGCCCTTAGGGTCCTGCTTCTAATTACAAGGCAGCAAGTTGGTGTTTTCAGTCTGAAAGAGGAATTTCTGTTACTTGAAGGATCTTCAGGTAAAAGACTTTGCAAAAGATTAATTAAAAACTATTTGCTTCAGAAAACTCAAACTACCTGGGGGTAACACACACATTCTGTGGCAACTTTTTTTTTAGCTGGTAGGAATACAATCTAAGACCCCAATATTACAAGGCCACATAAAACAGAAGTGTACTAACTCACTTCTGTGAATCAAAATCGTTTTTTTTGGTAGTTTAGCCCTTTCCCTGCCACCAACGTAAGGCATAGGGTGGAACAAAAACATTTCCAGCTGGTCAGCTCAGTTTGCCTTACATCGGCCATGACTCTTCGGTGTAATTGAATGGCTAATATCAGTGGCTGACGAGCCGCTAATGATAGCTATCCATTCAAAATCAGCCCTCCCCCTGCCACAGCTCTGCACACCAGTCCGCTGCTCGAACTTCCCCACTGGACACTGGCGATCTCTTCCCCTGCATGTCCCCCTGATTCCTCGCTGCTCTCCCCCACCTATATGGGCAGAGACGGGGAGGATCAGGGGGGGCACAAAGCAGAGCATGCTGTTGGCACCCAGCAGGAAGGAAAGAGCTGCAGGTGAAAGGATCCAGTAACAGGCAGGGCAGAGTCTTTTTGAGTGCCTGTCCTCACTTTTTTTTAAATTATAAATAACAATTCAACGGTATGGCAAAGCATTGCCGTGTGCTGTAATATGATGCAGGCATCATTTTAATCGCAAATGCACACCAATGCAGTGCACAAACAGAACTGCAGATCAGACGTTACCACAACACAAGTGTGAGGCCAACCTCCAGATTTTTAGCTTAAGTTGCTTATTTCAATTTTTGCGTAGCAACATTTATTTACCATTTTGCAAAAAGGCGCAATTTAAAATGTACAAATCTTTATTAACTCAATATAGTTTTATCCTTTTAGATTTAGGAGCAATCTTGTAAATTATGTTTGTGTATGCTAATAATGATTTTAATTGAAGATTACTGAGGTATTTTTATTGGTTTGATAAACGTGCAACTGCCGGGGGACCTACAAGATTAGTAGCACCATCCTTTTTTTATTCTACTAGTCCTGTGCTTTCAGAAAATAAGTGAATAATTGCAAAAATGGCCTGGCCAGCTGAGATTAAAAGTGGAGCAGAGCCTTTTCTTTTTTGGATTAAAAATGGGGCAGAGCCTTTTTTTTTTTTTTTTTTTTTAGATGAGAAGGATAGATGAGAACCCCTGATGAGTTATTTTTGCTGCATATGCCTTGCTTTGGAAATGTCTTTAATTTCCTATTTTGGAGATGCAACAGAAAATTAAAGGAAATCTCACCAAACTTAGACAGTTGTCATCAGAACATGTGTCCCCATTTGGATGATTTAACCGAACCTCAGTGGAGACGGGCTCTATTCTAAACTAAAAAAAAGGTTTTGCCTTTGCATACACTTTTAAGGAATGAAAGACAATCTCTTATTTGCAATAGGCTACTGCATGTTAAAGTAGACATGCACCTTTATAGCAAGACCAGAGATTCTGATCTTTCCCTTTTTTAGTGCATAATTACTTTTGTGTATTGTTTCAGGCAGCCTTTTGAAATACGGCCTTTACAAATTTGCTACAGCTGAGCAGGGAGGGCCAAATTCTGGCCTTGCTATAATGGTGTACTCTTCTTTAGTATTTGCCATGTGAAATAAAAACCCTGTAAATACATAATAGTAGGGATCTACCGATACTAGTATCGGTATCAGTGCCGATGCCGAGTACTCGCCCAATTGCTCCGATAAGCATGGAGACGGCTTCCCTGTTAATCAAGAAGCCAGGTGGCGAGTCATTACATGCTGCCTGGCTTCCTTAATGGGACTTCCGATATCAGAATTAGTTATCGTTGAGTATCGAAAAAAATAAAATATCAGTACTCTATACCAAAAAACTGTTATCAGTGCATCCCTACATATTAGTTAGCATGTGTCTCTGTTTATGTGCCTCTGATGTTACACTTCTTATCTCCCATCTTTTACACTCTTCTTTTCAGTATGAATTATGGATATCCAAGGATTTTGGAGAAAATTGGACGCTAATCCATCAATCGGTGTGTTCTGCTAAATGGTGAGAATTGGCAATTTAGTGATCAGCAGTATGTGGATTTATGTAATTCAATAACTCATGAGACTACTATATATTCTTTTAGGGGGCCCAGAAACATGATCTTGTTCACCATAACAACCGCAAATGAATCTTGTTGTAAGTATGGTGGATTATGCAAATGTTTACTGGTAAGAAAAAACAGATGGATAAAATGTAAATTTATTTTAAAGCTGACTGGCATGAAACAGTTTGGTCCCTAACTATGAAGAGAACATCCGACTTTGGTCAAACATTCAATGTGCTAAAAGAGAATATCCACTCGTTTGGATTATGGGGTCGTTTTCTTTTGGCATCCGTTATGGAGGAGGTAAGAGCAGACTTGTGTTTCATATGAATAAAGCCTTGTCATACTAGCAAACTTGCATACCAGCAACAGAGTTGCCAGTATTCACCTGACTACCTAAACAATAGACTCTTGAATGCTAGTGAGGCAGCAATGTCAGAGTGACACCTCGCTGGATTGTGCAGCAAGGGAATTGTTAGAGGTGAAGGCAAGATGAGTTGAATTGCTAGAGTGGCATAGGCCTAAATTGGCTTGGAAAGCCGGATACACCAAAATATTGTTAAATCGGAAGTGGTATTGAAGTTGCAGTACTGTTTGACAGTGAATCCCAGAGACTGCTGGTTCATATTACTAAGTATTCTAGGTTGTTACTTGATGACTAGTCCATGTATGCGTGTGAGATGTCATTGCTTAAATTACATGATGCTGTATAAAACGTTTTCTATCCACATGGAAGTTGTTTCCTTGATTTATACTGCTTTATTCTACACCCTGTTGTGTTTGTTTGTTTTCATGTTACTTTAAAAAAAAAATTAAAGGCAAAAAAAAAAAAAATCTGAAGGGGGTGGGGGTGAAATTAATCAATGTTTTAAAAATAGGATGAGAATACTGATGCCAAGGTTTGCATTTAACTGCTGCAGGACAGAATGAAGAGGAAGATCCACGTATCTCAGGATCATGGCGACACATGGAATGTGGCTCAACTCCCATCTGTTACACATGAGCAATTTTACTCTGTTTTGGCAGCCAATGATGACCTGATCCTTATTCACGTGGATGATGAAGGAGGTGTGTACATTGGACTATGATATTTAACAAACTTGTATATATAAATATTATGTAGTGAGATTTTTTATCTAGGTTAAAATTGGGTTTGTCAGGCAAACCTCTAATATATAGAATTAAAATACATACTTTATAAGGGTAATATTTTACTTGCCAAAGGATTTATTTTCCTTTCCATACAGTCCTGAGATATTCAGACCTGCCACACTGCACAGCCCTTTCTGGCAGGACAAAATAATATATTTTGCTTTGCTGCAGTTGAGTATTATAACGGGTCTTTTGACTTGGCATTAAATAAGGAAGTGGCACTGATAAGCTCATCTGCCTGTCACTCTCCTCTTATCAGCATGTACATGAGCACTGCAGCACAACTGATTGGCTCCTTGCACATATAATTGCAGGAGACAGATACCGAGTCAAATTCAGATACTTGAAATAATTGCATTAAAAAAATGTTTTTGTTAATTGAGAGGGACAATGCTTGATTCAATACACTTGTGGATTTATATTGCCACCTGAAGGCAGATGAAACTATGTGCAAAAAAAAAAAAACTAGCTAAAGGACAGCAACACCTATTGGCTAAATCCTGCTATTTCCAAATACGTCCAGTAACTTCCCAGCCTTATGCCCCAATGCATAAGAAACTGCTCTTTCCAATCACTGCTCATCTAACCACAGCAGTTAGTGTATCTTAGACTTTCTGACACCAAGCCTTGGCGTGTTAGGCCTATAAGGTGGCGACCTGATCATAAATTTTGGCATATGTCAGATTTGACTACAAGATTCTGCAGGCAGTGGTATGATTTTACCTTTTGTTGGGATGGGCATCACCGGGTTTAATATTGGTGTTTTTTTTGCCTGTGCCTCATTGGTACTGCTTGTGAATATATAATAAATAAAGCTGTGTCCCTCAAGGAATATATATCCTTCTATTATGAACCAAGTATAGCTACTGAATTCAGTAGGCAGTTATTTTAAGTTTTCTATGTCCATTGCAAGACTTAACATGAATATTCTATTTGATGTCTACTGGGTACCACTGAATTGGATTTAGTACCAGTGGCCCCAGCACCCAGTACTGTCACTCCAGTTACATTTGGTACAAATCCCACACAAGCACAGCACTGCTCAAGCTAGTTTAACTGTCAGAGCCAGAATCTGTGATAAGATGGCCCCCCAGTAAGTAGGAATGGTGCTTTACTGCAGCAAGGATTCAGATTTGGAAGTGTAAACTGGTGACAGGGTCTCTTTTTAACAATGTATTACTAATCAGAGCTGAATAGATTTTTGTCTTAAATATCTACATAAATTTAAGCTTTAAATACTGTATATTCGGTTCTGACAAACTCAGTATTACTTTTACTTAGGTCAGCTTGTATTTCATGTTTAATAGTCCAAGGAATTCTAGAAAACAGGATGTAAAAACGGAGATCTGTGATTTATTTTGATATTCTTTCCCAGACACAGGCTGCGGAACCATTTACACATCTGACGATCGGGGCATTGTGTATTCCAAATCCTTGGAGAGACATCTTTATACCAAAACAGGAGGAGAAACTGATTTCACTAATGTGACATCCCTCCGTGGAGTATTCATTACTAGTGTTCTCAGTGAAGGTTAGCAGGCACTGCTTACACATTGCAATGACCAGATTTTGTTACACATAGTTAGTCCTTACACTTTATTCTGGGCATACCTTTTTTTCTTCCAGATAATTCTGTCTATTCTGTCATTAGCTTTGATCAAGGAGGGGAATGGAACCGCATCAAGAAACCAGAAAATTCTAATTGTGACTCAACCGCAAAAGACAAGGAGAAGGTGAGCTGCTGTCTTTAATACTGATGAAATATCTCTTGGTAGTGACCTTCCTTCAATACACATGCATCCTATAAAGTAGAATGAGTCAGGGGCAACAGTATCCAGCCTTCAGGCAATGATTTGAAATTGGTAAGATTCATATTTTCCTCATCATTTCCTCATATCTCCTTTTGGACAAAATGGGTGGTGCTGAAATGCAAGTGTTATAACCGCATATGTCTTAACTCTTTGCAAGCTGCCACTATACAAAGCCACAACTCTTTTCAGAGCCATATGAGCTTGTTAGTATGTGCTAGTGGGTACTATTCAGTGTTCTTTGTTACCGAACCCTTTAAGCAGCCAGGTAGTGCTTAACCGCTTGGGAGGCATATTTGTTAAGCAAAATCAGTATTCAGACTGAGCTTTGAATGCTTTCTAAATACTGATACTCTCAAACGGAAAATTTAAACTGGACATCCACCACTAGAATTTGAATTCTAGAATTAAAATTTTCTTTCGAACGTTCGTTCGATTTTCAAATAGTTAATGGGGTCAAATCGGTGATTTTGACCACAGTGATGAGAAAAAAAATCAAAGGAGCAGGATGGAAAATATTTCTTGGAGGAACACATTTTTAACAGTTTCATTTCCAAAATGTAAAATGTTAAAACCAGCCCAAATTTTGAAATACATTCTGCAAGTCTGTGATGGCATTGTCAAATGTTCTGGCAAGATTTCCTAATTAAATCTACCAGTGTATGGCCAGCATTAGTCTCAGAAATTATGGAATGTTAGATTTATGTGCTTTTCTGGGAACAAAGTAGATAATTTAACATGCAGCATAATAAAAGATCTACTTAATACATTTACAAAGTCAGTTCTATGATGATGTTGCCCTAGAATAGAAGATTTGTTATAACATGGGGATTAATGATTTGAAGGTGGCTTTACTTTATTTATAAACTATTGCACTTTAAATTATTGTACCTGAAATTAAATATTACCAGTTGTGTAGCAGAATGAAGGGGACATTTAGAAATCTGTGTTTTTCAGTAAAGAATTCTAAAGTTGTACTGTTTGTAAGTGAAATATGCAGGCTACCATTGCTGACCCCAACCTGAAAATGCTAATCTGCTGATCCTCTGACTCCAAAATTGTATAAGACACTGGGTGGAAAGAATGATACACAAAGTCAGTACTGAAAGCATGATGGAAGTACAATTTCCAGGGAATTGATGATTTCAGGAAAGTTCAAGCAGGTCTCTAATCAAGTTTTCTTGAAATTGACTCTTACAAGAATAAATGCCAGAATAAAAAGTTTACCCGCAAAGAAGAAACAATACTTATCTTTACCCGCAATCCCCCTGAAGTGTCTGCAGAGGCCGACAATTTGGGAATTTTGATCTTCTATATCCCCTGCTTAGTGGTTCCTCATGCCATCCTCTACATTACTACTGAGTTCTGTAGTGACATGGGGGTCAGTGAAAGGAACCACTGAGTGTTGTAGGGTGACATAGTAGATTGATACTTTTGTGTCGATCTGTTGTGGACCAGAACACCCTCCGGGTGGCACTGTGACGCTGGAACCAGGTCCTGCAGTTTCGGTGCTCACCTGCTGGTGTCCCAGCAATGAGCAGTTAGTCGCCACCTGGTGCTGATCTGGGAGGGTATTTAGCCTCCCCTTTCAGTGAGGCCTGTGCCTCAGTATTGTTGCCATATCCTGTAGCCTGTTCCTGTCTTGAGCCCGGACTCTGATCTGATTCCTGAACCTTGCCCCTGAGGTCTACTGATCAGTGGCTTCCCTATTGTTGTCCTGCTCCCCAGGGTTTGCCCTGTTGTCTCCGGTGTGTACCTTGTTATTTGTATTAGTTAGGCTTTTATATGTTACTTGCGGGTGTTGGTGGGGGTGCTTATGGTTGCGGTGTTTTTGGAATAGCTAATAAGCTATAGTTCATAAGCATTGTTTGGTGTGGCCACATATTTGATTCTCCTGTATAGATACCTGCACGCGGTGTGGGAAGTATAAAATTCATATTTTTGGCTATAATTCACTGTAAAAATTAGCATTATAAACCTGTGCCCAGTCTATGGACATGTTCCTAAAAAGCAGAAAATGCCCTTAAAACAAAAAGTCCTCATTAAACTCTTTAACTACAGGCACTGTGTTGAAAATTCTTAAAGTTCACAGCCAGGGCCATCTTTACCGCAGGGCAAAAGGGGCACTTGCCTGGGCCACATAACGTACAGGGGCCCACAGCAGCTGTCCCTTTCACCCCCAGCAGCAAACGGAAAACGAGCTGTGTGTGTGAGCCGGTGGGGAGACAGAATGGACATCCATTCTCAGTAGCAGCCAGCCTGTGAAGTGACCGTCCGTGTGTGTCTCCTGCTGTGATCTCCTCCCCCAATGCCTGTCACAGAGATCCGGCAGGCACGGAGGAGAAGGAGGGGGGAGGGTTAAGCCAGACAGCACAGGTAAATCTGAAAAAAAAACAGTTACCATAATTTTTTAAAAATCTTTATTTTCACTTATCTGTCTTTAGCACACAGGCTGGGGTCTGGAAGCTGGACTGGGGAGGAAGATTCTGGACTGTGTTGTATTTACATGCATATCACTAAACATGTGCTGAAATGTATATTCAGTCCATGTGTTTAGTAATATGCTGTGTAATTGCAATACAGATTTTACTAATTTATACATGTTCTGTACTACCTGATAAATCATACAATTAGATTTAAATAAAAATCGTATTGTATGATTTATCAAGTAGTATAGAACAAATGTACCAATCAGTGGTGGAACTATCGGCAGCTATGGGGCCCGGGGCCCAGCCAGGGCGAGGAACAAATGGGTCCCCCTGATGCCGTGCCGGCTGCCTGGGTCATTATGGCATCGAACGCTGCTGGCTGTCACTGGTGTCTGTGAGGAGGAATGCGCCGCTGTTCAGTTCACTGACAACCTGTCAGTGATCTGTGCAGTGGCGCGTTCCTCCTCACAGCCGCTGCTGAGTTAGTAACAGCCAGCAGCTGCAGTGGAGGAGCAGGCAGGGCCCGGTAGAGGAGGAGACGGGGCCCACCGGTGAACATGGAGGGGGAGGAGGCGGGGCCCAGCGCTGGAGGAAGCTGACGGCGGACTGGGGCTGACAGGTAAGAGGTGTGCAGGGGTGTGACCAGCCCACCTGAGACCCTGCAGAGTGCATTAAAGAGTCTATGGTGGGCTCTGCAGGGTCATTCTCAGGTGGGCTGTGTGGGGTCTCAGGTGGGCTCTGCAAGGGGTGTAACTAGAAATCACAGGCCCCCAAACAAAAGTTTGCTATGTGGCCCTGTGATTTCTAGTTATGCCCCTGGTACCAAATACATGGTTATATTAGTAAAATCATTATTACTTTTACATTACGTGACCCCGCACATTTGCTGCAGGGTGTACTGCATTTGCAACATATGCATTCTACATATAATATACACAGAGGCATTTGTTAAAAATGCAACGCACCATGCAGCAAGTGTTCGGGGGCATGCAATGTAAATGCACTACTGATTTTACTGATGTAACCATGAGGTGCTACATTTGTTCTGTGCTACCTTTATAAAGCATACAATAAGATTTTTTATTTAAATCGTATTGTATGATTTAAAAAATAGTTCCGAATAAATGTACCAGTATGTGGTTAAACTAGTAAAATCCATATTGCATTTATATTGCATGGACCCGAACACTTGCTGCTTGGTGCATTGCATTTTCAACATATGCATTCTACATATAATATAGACTTATGGGTCAAAAATCTGTATTGTAGACTACATTGCAGAGTCCTGAGTTTATTGCGGTGCAGAGTCCGGAGTCTATACCAGACATCCTAACTCTACCGGACGCTCCGGGAGTCTCCCGCTATTAGATAGCGGCTCCCGGCCCCATGGGAGAGGAGCACTTTCTCCCGAAAAGGTTTAGCCTGCTCAATCGAGCAGAGTAAACCTTTCCCTGCTCTGGTTTTTTGTTTTTTTTCTGACATCAAAGCCGCCGTCAGTCAGACAAAAAAACAGCATAGGAATGCATAGCTAGATTCCTATTGGCTATTTCCCTTTGCATTAGCCAATAGAAAACTAGCTATTGCACCCGCCCACTGCTGCTGTCAATCAGCAGAGGGGGACCCGACGTTCTCAATCTGGTCCTTCTAGTGATTGACAGCAGTAGATGGTGGGTGCAATAGCCAGCTTGCTATTGGATATTGAAAATTGAAATAGCCAATAGGAATCAAACTATTCATTCCTATGCTGTTGTTTTTTTTTTGTTTTTTTGTTTTTTAATTCTAAAGGCAGCAGCTGTCAGAATACTAAAAAAAAAAAAAAACAACAAAAAAAACCTGCAGATAGCATAGAAGCTACTGCTTCCTCTGCTATCTGCCATAATTTCATGGGGGTGCTCTCTCCTCCCCCCCTTTCCTTGCGGTTTGGGGAGGGGGCAGAGGGCACCTCCCTGAAATTGCTTCTGTCAGGTTGGGATCCCTGCTATACACACATGCATGTATTGTTTTTTATTTTTTAGTTTCGGGGGAGGGTGATGTAGGGGGGTCTGGGTCAGGAAGTGGGGGGCAGGTAATGGAGGTGGGCGGGTTGTGGAGGCCCATCAGCAAACTCTTGCCCAGGGTCCACTTAATATTAAGACTGCCCTGTTCACAGCAGAAGCACTGAGGTTGTCCAAATCATTCGCTTGGCAGCTCGGCTCACCCTGCTCTCCCTTTTGGAGCAACTTACCTGTTATTACATTAGAAGGTTTCTGAGTCCCTGCTAGGAGATTGCGCTGAGATGCTGAAAATCACTTCAGTGATTATGCTGTGAATTTTGAGAATTTCTGTCACTGACCACATAACCATAGAGCTCAGTGACCGTATTAAAGCTCGTTTCAGGGCTTGTTCACACCAAATGCAGACCAGATCTGCATGAGTTTCTGCACACGCAGTGCAGTGGGTTATGCCGCGTTTTTGATGCGCTCCGGGCTGCTTTTAAAAACAAGTTTTTTAAATGGTCTTTCAGTGCGTTCCAGGGCGTTTGCATGCATTCCAGAGCAGGAAAAGTAGGGCTTGCTCCAGTTTTTTTTTTTACATGCTCTGGAACTGAACGCTGCGGTGTGAACTAGAGCCCAAAATACTATTGGAATACATTGGACGCAGTTTTGATCCGGTCTGTAACTGCTCTGCTCCTGGAACGCGCTTGGTGTGAACAAGGCCTTACTGCTTGTAAGTATTTGAATGTCTGTAGCCAGTGTTACACTTTAAGGATAAGATCGCTTTACGGAGTAAGTCTGACTTTGTTATCCCTTCTGTTGCACCTTTTGGTTAATTTTAGGTATAGACCCCTATAATTGCATTATTTGTTTTTCTTTAATATGTGTGTAAACAATACAATTTTGGTGCAGTTCTTATGTAATTGTCTCTCTCTTTTACTATGTGTATACAGTGTAGTCTGCATATTCATGGCCAGTATAGTATATCACAGAAACTTGCAGTCCCTCTCCCACCAATGTCTGAGCCCAATGCTGTGGGAATAATCATTGCACACGGTAAGTATGGAGGCTTATTTTGTCTGCTGTTTGTTTTTATATTGTTCCTTGTATCCATGTTTATTATTTTTTTGCAGGCAGTGTGGGGGATGCAGTGTCAGTCGCTAGCCCCAGTGTGTACCTCTCTGATAATGGTGGTTACTTGTGGAACCGTATACTGGATGGCCCACACCATTATGCAATTTTGGACTCTGGAGGGCTTATTGTGGCAGTAGAGCAAAGTGAAATCTCCATCAACACCATTAAGTAAGGGCTTGTGGAAGTACTGTCAGTAAAATTAACTTCATTTTTCCAAGTGAGCAACTGCATCCTATCGTCTCTCATTTCATTGTGATGTATGTATGTATGTATGTGTGTGTGTATATGTATATATTAGGGTTGCACAGATACCAAGTACAGTACTCGGTACGAGTACATGTACCGATACTTTTGAGCTCCAAGACTACACTAATTAAAAAGTTAAGAGGCAGCTGTCATTTGTAAGGAGCACATGGAGCCCCTGGGATTTGTACATCTCTGTTTTAATGTACGATTTTGTTTTTATACATATAAATAAAGGGATGCACAGACACCAGTTTTACGAGAACTGGTATTTGCTGAGTACTTACAAGTACGAGTCCTGATACATTTTTGTTGTCATGTGACAGTTTTTCTAAAACAATACAGACTAATGATTTCAGGACAGTGGTGGAGGGCCAGAGCCAGGTCCCAACTGCAACCGCTGCAACCCTGATAGTTCTCATTAAAATGCCAAGTATCTGCACTGGTACTCGAAAAGTATCTGTGCATCTCTAATATATATTGCACCGATACCGAGTATCCTCCCGATGCCTATGCCGATACTGGAACTTCCAGTATTAGGAAGCCCGGTGGCAATTCATTACATGCTGTCCAGCTTCCTGATTGGTCCAAAAGCTGGTCAATCAGGAAGATTGGCCAGAAAGCCGTCTCCATGCTTCCTCGTCAACTGGTGCCATTTCAATCAGTTTCTCTTCACCCAAGCTCTTTGTGATGTGGTTAAAAAAAAAACAGTACTACCTGCATTACAGTCTGTTTCTTAAATGCCTCTCTCCAGCTGCTTTAAAATAGCACTGCAACAGAATAAAACCCCAATTACTTCATATATGCGACTGTTTGAAAATCTGTCTAATTTCTGGTAGACCTGTACAAAAATGTCCGAAAGGGCTGCACAGAATTGCAGGTGTGGGGGTTATAGATCTAAAAAAATAAAAATAAATCTTTTGTATAGACTTTGCAAACTGAGATTATTTTGTTGCTAATTTGTTTGATACATTTAACCCATAGCTTTGGGAGCTACATTTGATTACCACTCTTTTAAAGGAGAGTTACACAGGCAGAGATTAGAGTAGATGTAAGGTATGTGATTCCTCCTTTTTTCCTCTTCAATGAATAGGTATATTTTATTTTAGGCAAACAAGTTTTTAAATAAAGACTATTTACCTTTTCCATACTGCTGTTGTTCGTTGCGATTTGTATTGACCTCTTTAATGGTAATTTCACATCTACCGCCGGTTGCCTGAGAAACATTTACAGGTGACTGTAGTGTTATATAATAAAGAATATGCCGCTTCTGTGTTACTACATTGCATGGTTGAAAGCATCCACGTGCAACATTTTTTTTTAAAATCAGTATAGCAGGATTTTTAAAAAATGTCTGTGTATCTTGTCATGCATCTGTGTGCATTTCCTCTTACAGGTTCTCAATTGATGAAGGGCAGTGTTGGTTTTCATACAATTTCACCACTCAACCTGTAATATTCACTGGTTTGGCCTCCGAGCCAGGGGCTCGCTCCCTGAATGTCACTGTGTGGGGGTATGAGCCAGGATTGATTCACAGAGTTTGGAAGTCCTACACTATTGACTTTGCTTCACTTTTAAATAAGAATTGTGAGTATCTAAGTATGTTTACTACAGTGTTCTTATAGTTGTTTCTGAAATGTATTATCCAGCACCAAAATTTACCCTTGGTCCAGATTTTCTTTTCTGTTAACTGAAAAGGATTATTTTTCTACTTGCATGAACAGTTACTTTTTCAAATGTGTTTACATTTGAAGAAATGTGTGTTTTTTATATAGTTTTTTTGCATAGTGCTACAGATTTTTTCTTTCTGCGTTACCCTCGGTTGGTACTCCTAAAACAAAAGGCCAGCTATCAATGAAGAGCAGTCAATATTTTGGGTAGTTCTAAAAGAAGCTCTGCTTTCCAATACAATTTTGTTGACTGTCAGCAATGAGTAGGTGTTATGCTCTGCTTTGGGACATAAAGTGACTGACATGGATGTTTACTATTCATATCAATCGCCACACCACATTAAGCCTTGGGGAACCGTTACCAAAACCAAAAATGTCGAGGAAATATTATACCCCATTTGAATAATAAAGTGTCAGATTGTGACCTGTCATTTAAGTCAGTCAAGTCATGCATAAGTGAATGAATGGGTGGGGCAGACACTGAAATTCTTGCCTTGTCAATGAACTTATACAGGCAAAGTAGGAGGGACAGACCAAGAGTTTCCGCATATATCATCTATATTAATATAATTTTATTTGCGATGCCTAGCAGCAGCTATCCGGATTGGTTTTCTCCTTGGCAGACCAAATATGCTCTTCTGCAAGTAAGGCTTGCAAAGATTCTTTCTTGATGTTCAAGGGGAACTCTTCTCGGATGTTACACAAGCTTTGGTGTGACGAGCTTCTTGATGTTGCGAGAGCCTCCTTCTTGATGTTAACATGAGAGCTCTTGACTGCCCTGTGCTGCTTTTTGTCAGTCTTCTAGTGGGTGTCCTGGAGCCAGTCCATAAGGCAGGGCTGGGGAGGGTGAGCAGACGGGCTAAGCCTTTATGATGCCCTTGTCTGCTCCTTGTGTGTAAAAAATAAATAAGGTTACCATTGATGAGATTTAGGTCACATTTGGTTCAGTGCTCTAAAGAGTCAAATTCATACTTCCATTCATGCTATTGCTCCTCCTCGCCCCTTGTCCATTCACAGAAAACCTTGTATTTTGTGAATGGTTCACAGAACACAAAGCAGAAAGGGGAGAGTGGGCAGATAAACTGCTGCTTCCCTCTGAGCACTGCAGCTGGCCATAAGTATAGCCAGACTGTACTATCCAGCATAAATGGAAGTATAAATTTTACAAGTCACAGAAGTGATCCGGGCCTGGCATAAACATTAGCTAAGGTAACTTTTTTCCCTTTTACAGATATGACGCAAAACTCTCTGCCCGGCGTTCTGCTTTAACTGTTGCTTAACTGTGTATCATTCAGTCCCCTATATAGTCATGCGCACTGCATAGTTCTGGTGCCTAGATTTATAAAGCTAGCTCCCAGTGAGATGTGTCCAGGCCTGGAGTTAAACTGTGATGTCTTCACTTTGTGTGTTTCCTCTTTGGAAATACTGTGGCCCAATACACAGCACCAAGAATAGATATACAGTATACTCTCTTGGTTACTGTGTGCTGCTGTTAGTGTTTTTCTGAATTTCTTTGTCCATTTTTGTATAATATGTTTTAGAATCTTTTACTTTTTTAATATCTGTTACATATATGTCTTTATTGTACTTTTCGAATATAAACAGGTGAAGATAAAGATTACATCAATTGGTTAGCACATTCCACTGACTCTGAAGCCCCCTCAGATGGTTGTGTTTTGGGCTACAAAGAACATTACCTCCGCCTACGGAAATCTTCGGTTTGCCGGAATGGACGGGATTACCTAGTGAGCAGTCAACCTGAGTCCTGTACTTGTACACTGGATGACTACATGTGGTAATGTTGCACATGCATATCTACTACCATCTTGTTTTAGATCAATCCCATGTATTAAATATAGGACATTGTGACACAATGTAATTTGCTTGCAGTGACTTTGGATATTTCCGTAAGGAAAATGAGTCAACGTGTGAGGAGCAGCTGGAATTTAAGGGCCATGACATAGAACTGTGTATATATGGGGAAGAGGAAAAACTGCAGACAAGTGGGTAAGAATAACACTGATTTATTTAATTTTTTTCTATTCAGCTTCTGTGTACTGAGAAAAAAAATGGAAGCCAAACATGTTTACCACTCCTTTCTTTTCCTTCACACTAACATAGAATCATCTTGCAACACTTTGCCTTGGCTTCATTTTTGGTTTCCACAAAAATGACAATCAGGACATGACTCAAATAAGATGTTACCAGTTCAAATGTAGCAAATCAGAGAGATACTGCTATTAAATTACGTATGTGAATGATGATCTGGGTAGGCCACCAATGGCTGGTTGAGAGAGATGCTGGTTCCCCTTTACGGGGACAAGCAGGAATGACAAAGCAAGTCGGGTGACTGTAATATAAACATGCTCAGCATAAACTAAGGCTAGGCAATGAACCTATGGGCAGATGGAAAAAGTGCAACAGATTCCTCCCATCTAGGCTAAACTGTGTGGATAGAGGAATCTCCCAATGAGCCAAGTTTCAGTATCTTGCTGGTTGGTCCTGCTGGCCCTCAAAGTACCAGAACAATCTGATTGGATGCAGGCATTGTTGAGGTATTTTGAGAGCCAGGGGGGGAAAAGAGGAATCCCTGACAAATTATGCTGGCAGCTAACCCCTTTTAGCTGTTAGATTAGTAGTTCCAAGGCTCCCAGTTTTCTTCTCCTCTTCCCCTTCTTTTTTTTACATAATTTTATTTATCTTTCAAGCAAGATGGAAAGCAAATTCACCTGCACAATAATCCATTTTTAAAGGAGGGACAAAAGATTGGGACATTAAACCCTATCTCAAACAGTAGGACATCTCAACATTATAGGTTGTAGGTGGTTAGTGGTCCCTCGAAGTCCTCGCACTGGGTTCGGAATACATAATCCAAGGAAAAAAAGAGAAGGAAAGAGAGAAAGGGGTATATGCATGGCAATTCTTTAGGTAACCAGAAAGAGGATAGGTTTAATCATATGGTAATCACTTTATCAGTGTAGGTTATTGTTGTGAATAACTACTTCCCTCTTTTTGAAGCAATAAATGATACCACCATTTTGATCTTGTATCATACAACTTCACAGCCTATGCACTGTGAAAATATTTGTTTCTTGTGGAAAATGACTCCATATAATCAAAGGTCCGGCATAACTTTTTTTTTTCTTCTGGTTCCCAGGTCAGGGCTGCTCAGGTCTTAATGTACCATACAGGATGATCATTAGGACTGAGGTTCTAATGAGAGAGCTGGATGTACAAAGACCAGGCAAATCTGTTTGTTTTTTTCTTTTAAATCATACAGTACAAAATAATTTAAATGACCGTTGGCTCAGGTTAGGTTTGTGCCCTTGTCTTCTGGTGTGTTACAAGTCTTACAAGTCTTACTCAACCCTCTGTTGATTCTGTGGAACACTTTTTCTTTTGCTTTTTTACCTAATTTTACCAAGCGGATTCTGACTTTTATTAGGTACCGTAAGATCCCTGGAGACAAGTGCACTGGTGGCGTGAACCCCACTCGGCAAGAAATGGACATGAAGAAGAAATGTCCACTTGACATGCCATCAAAAATGCAGGTAACTAATAAAAATACATGCCATTACTGAATTCTAGTACTGAATTCTACATGCCAGTTACCTGCATGTACTTGACATGCCATCAAATACATGCAGGTAACATAAAAAATAATACAGTAACAAAAAAAAGTTACATATTTCATAAGAGCCATTGATTACTTGGTCATTACATTTGAAGAGGTCCTTCAAACCATTAACATCAACTTAACAGCAATGACACTTTCATGGTAATCTGGTATGCAGAGAATTGTTACATGTATCACTGGTAGGGTACCACCTGTGTACTTTATACTCTGTATGAATAGCAAAAAGAGAAAGTTTGCTTTGTAATTAATTCCTGGCCATCAAATCTGGTTTTTCTTTTTGTATTTTTCGTTTTACTGTCAAAAGAGAAATATGGGACCTACCATAGTTAATTTGTTTTTAAGGAACAGGCCTGTCATTCTAATTCTTGCTTCACTAGCTAGTAAGTCACTGACTTGCAATAAGCATGCAGGGTGGGATTTTAGACTTCCTAAGCTTTTATTCTTATCCCAGATGAGTGACTTACTCAGTAGTGAAGCTTGGGTCAGGATGAGAGCCATGGAGTTTGTATGTTTAAAAATATGTAATTCATGGTTGTCCCAGTTCTGCTATACTCAGATTTGTTTTAGGTATATATACTCCTAAATATATCACTTAATTCCTTTACCATGATGGGATAAAATATATTTGTGCTATCACAAGAAAGTTGTGCTCCTTTAGTCAACTTTTAGCCAAAAGTGCTATAGTGTGTGTGTGTGTGTGTGTGTGTATATATGTATATGTATATGTATGTGTATATGTATGTATGTATGTATGTATGTATGTAATTTCTTTTTTTTTTTTTTCTGTTCATAAAAGGTCCGAATTATTGTTGCTAAAAAATATTGTTTGTTTTTTGCTTATTATGCAAAATATTTTTCTCTGTTTTATCCAGGACAACACAGCAAGCTCTATTCCTGTTATTTTGTCTGTAGTTGTGGTTCTGCTGGTTGCTATTGCTGCAGCCATCTTAATAATGAAGAAATATGTTTGTGGTGGTAGGTAAGTAGATTGAAGAATACACAATCGTGGGATGGTGAGTGTTGGTTTTTGACAGCTAAAGATAGCAGAGAGGTAGCAGAGTGAGTCACCTCTCTGCTATTCGTTTTGACAGCTCCATAGACTGGCCCGATGTTTATGATGGGCACAATCAGAAACCTTTAGTGAGATCTGATTCTGATATGTTGTCAGGAGCAGTCTCTAAGGTTAATATTAGCTGTTTCTAAGTTAAGAGCAGCCTAATAATAACCTCTTTTTTATTTTCTATTTTATTCGAACTAAGTGAGGCGTTAGGTACACATGTTTGATATAATTTATATAGCCCTATCCTCTAAAAAAGAATATATAATATGTGTGGGTACATTTAGTAAAAGTATGTTACTGACGTGGAAGAATCACACAGCAAAAATGTAAACGGTGTGTCAGTCATTTACGAACAGAAACTAAAGAGCTCAGTCAAGAAGCTGTTGGATCTCAGCTGCGGAGGTAAGTGGAAATGGTTCAGGAGGGAGGTTCGCGGTAACACTTTAAGTCAGTGAGTGCAGTCGGAACCCCTTACACATCATACACCATTTATCCTGGGAGCATTGAGTTGTAATCGTGTTGTATAGTCACGCTCCCAATTATATAGCATTGGGGCCGTGTTGTGATTTGTAGTTCGATGCCTTAGTTGCTTCACTAAGGACCAAACTAATCTATCTCATATGGTTTGAGGAATTACCGTCCAGGGTATATGGTGCAACAGTGTTTGAGGAGAGAGCCAGTTAACGTCACTAAGCCCAATATGAGTACATGCAGGTGACAACAACTATGGATAAGCAGCAATAATGGAGTAGATAGCAGAAGAGCAGAGAGGATGTAATATGAGACTTCCCCACAAGGTGGCAGTACCAACACTTCCCCTGTATATAGAATGGCAGTGATATACTTGCTGTTTGGTGAGAGTCCAGTCAGGGGAAGTGTATGTTCCTTGGTGCTGGGGGTATCTGCAGGCGGGATCGATGAACTGTAGCTCCAGAAGCTGGTCACAGGGTCTCTGCTCACGATGGGGTTCCTAATAGCTTGCTCGACGTACTATTTTGCTAGAACGTCGAGCAAGTGTTCAGCCTCAGTTTAAGTAGGCAGAGGCAATTGTTGGGGGCGGAGCCGGAGACGAGACCCGACCCGAGCGTCTCCTAGCAACGGGATGCTGCCGGGCCTCGTCCGTCGCGTCACACTGCCTGTGAGAAGGAGAGGAGGAGCGCTGCGGAACGGCCGCCCGTCGCCTAGCAACTGGACGCCAATGACGGGGCCGTCCCCGCGCTGGCCTCAGAGTCCGGAACAGCCTGCGTTCCTGACAATCGTGGGCTATTGTCCGCAATACACTGAGCGCTGCAGCCAAGACGGATCCTGACATTACTATCGAGATCCACCCAGCTGCGTGAGTGACAGCTGATTTTGCCAATCTAGAGGCAGAGCCAGCTGTGCCTGCCCCCTACACCCCGCTCGTTCTTCCACTCAGCGCTGGAGGATCAGAGGGGGGGGGAGAATGCCTGCGGGAACCTGTGACTGACAGAGCAGATCAGTGCATGTTTCTGCTTACTTCCCGATCGATAGACGATGGGTGGAAATCAATGCTGGAGGATCGGGCAGGGGGAATCCCTGTGGTGAGCGGTGACTGACTTTCACCACTCACTGCAATGAGTAGATCGGTGCATGTTTCTGCTCACTTCCCGATCAATAGAGCCAACCTGTGACAGCTTCTTTGTCACAGGTTGGCTCTAACTATGAGGATGAGTAGAAATCACTCACCTCATAGTTCTCCTTTTAAAGGAGGTGGAAAGCATTGGTGCTAAGAGATCAGCAAATTATATATAATATAAGGTAGAGAAGCCATCAGGGCCAGCGTGTTTTATATGGGATTTTAAAGCTCTAATAGGCATTTTGACTTCATCAGCGGTAATGTAGTCAAGTAGGTCACGCAAGTCATTTGGAACTAAAGGGAGGTCAATTGTGGAAAATAGGTGGTCTGCCTGAGAGAGGAGACATTAGGAGTAGGGAAATAAAGCTGAGATAAACGTTGTTGAAATTCTTGCACCATGAGGGAAGCATTGGCTGTTACCGTATGCTGCTTTTGAAGTCGGAATGGCTTGCGACAAGGATCAATAGTACGAAGGTGGTGGGCGAGCAAGCGATGTTGAGTTCGTCGTAGCTGTTTATCTGCTATGCGAGTGAAAAGTAGGTTGTCATCTCGTTCAGGATTACTCAGACAAGACGGTGATTCTGAAAGAGAGAAGAGATTCAATGAATTTAAGTTCTAAGGATTTGAATTTCAATAGCCTCTCTTTTTTGCGAGAAGATGCTAATTTAATACATTCTCCCCAGAGAATGGCTTTGTGCTTCCCATAACATAACGGGATAGAACTCGGAAGTTTGGTTGAGTGCAAGATAGTCAAAGATGGCAGCATTAAGAGTTTTGGTGACATTCATCTGAAAGTAAGCAATCATTGAGGGGCCAGGAAAGGTCGGTTGGGATTGGTAATAGGGAAGTTAGAGATAATGAAACCTCAGAGTTGTCGGACCAAGAGATAGGGTGGATGGAGGAAGATGAAATGAAAGGTAAGAAGGTCTGAGTAGTGAAGATATGGTCGATTTTCTAGAAAAGGTATTGTGGGCTGGAAAGAAAAAGGTGTAATTCCGGGTAGAGGGATGTAGTTATCTAGTAGAGAATAGGTCTCTGATGACAATTTAGAGGTTGGGAGGGTGAAGTCGGTGGTGAGGCTTTGCGTGGTAGTAATTGAAGATCTGACAAGATATGGCAGAGCTCAGCGAAGGAGGATCCCTGATGGTAGCGGCCGTTGTAATTGAAAATAAGGCAGAGTGGGAATCCCCAGCGGTAGGATATCTGATGATCCTGAAGAATAGACAGGGATGGCTTCATTTCCCTTCTTTTTGCGATTGTCGTAGGGGCTAAATCTGCAAAGATCTGGTATTCAAAGCCCTGAAAAGAAAGGGAAGGGGCCTTACGAGCCGCCTGTAAGATTGCCTCTTTCATGTGGCAATTGCTATGCCTGATGAAGGGACCCTGTGCGTCCCCGCTTGTGTTTCTGACATGAGTTTTCAATAAACCCACGATTGATTATCCTTGAAGGAACTCGTGTGCTGGTGACATTTCTCATATTGTGTGCAATAGGCGGCGCCATCCGCAGTCATTCCGAGCACCCTTCCCTGATTACAGGACTTTCCGGTAAGGAGTGCAACAAGCCTTTTCCGTCATAATAAAGAAATGTAGTGCCCACATCTCCAGGAGGGCCATCAGGCTTTTTCCGAGACAATGTGCAGTGAATGTGCTTGAGCTTTAATAAAAGTAGTTTATTGTTCTATACGATGGTACTTCTTGCAGGGCTTAATTAACCTCTGCTCTGTCTCTCTTCTGAGAAACCTCTCAATCAACAAGGTCGATGGCACTTCTGGTTATTTCCTTCTTGAATGTGGAACAGACTATTTGAAGTCCTCAAGTAGCTCTGGACTCTTGTATGGCACTGACTGTTTTGTCCACCCTAGTTTCCTCTGTCCACTTTGCAGACCTTCCCTCAAGTAAGTCAGTTCCTTCATATTCATACTTCGTGCGGGATGAGGATCCTGTCCTCGGCAAACCTCATAAGAAGCCCACTCTACCTGGACTTGCTCCTCTTACAGTTTTTCTCCCTATGTACAGTATATAGTCTCTCTGCTCAAGTTGGTGAGTCTGGATTTTGGACTAGTCTTCACATTGATCTTTTTATGGGTCCAAATAGTTGCAATATCGTTGGACTTGCCTGGTTGCAGATGTTACTCTCTTAAGGACTCCCTTATTGAAACTATCTTTTGAGTTTAAGTCCCCATATGGCTTCCTGTGGTCTCCCTTCTGTATGATGTTAATGTCCACACTATTTTCATAGTTTACAGGTGTTATTTCTCTTCCCTTGATTGACTATATATTCCTAGTCAGTGAGGGGTCTTATGTATGTCCCAAAGAAGCATACTTTTACTTTTCTTACTAGCTCTCAACTTGAGTACTCTGGAGTCCAAGGGTCATCTTATATGGTTTCCCATGGGTATAGGGTAATCTGGAAAGTTCCTTGTGGGAACTGCTGTGTAGAGGTTGTTTCTTCTACTATTTTAACTAATTCTTTTGAGGATTATTACTTCGTTTCTTCCACACCTTCCTTTCTCAGCAGAGGCTGTCAATTCTTACAGGTATATCCTAAAAGAGTCTGAAATCACACTGTTATTCCTGCCTAATCCCTTTTTTACACCAGTTAGAATTATCCTATTGAGCTTTAGCGGATCTTTACTTGACCTTCATCTAGACATCCCATCTCTCCCAACTTTTTTTTTTTTTACTTAAGCCAAGGGTTAAGCATGCTAGGCATAAGTGACTTTGCTGTTGGACATATTTTCTAATTTCTTCTATTGACCACATTGCTACTTGGTCTATTTCTCCCAGCTTTCAGGTGTTGTACTGTTCCACCTATCTTTTTTTTTTTTGGTGGACTCTTAATTGGCCCTTCCTTGTTTGTTTGAGGCCCATAGTTCTTGTGTACATTTTTGCACTTTGAGATGTTTGCTGACTTGGTCTTAAGCTCCAGGTTTCTGTATTTGGGTACTCTCCTCAGTCATGGCTCTTCCTTTTTTTTTTTTTATAGGCCATTCTTCATCTAGCCTTCTGTTTTAGGTTTGAGCTCTAGGCTATGCCTGGTATAAATTCCACATTGCTTAGATCTCTCTGTGCCTTAGCCACTCCTTTTGTATGACCCACTTTTCTCTCATGTACAGCTGATCCCTTGTCTCTTAATGCCGTAAAATCTAGTTATTTTGTTTATGATCTACTCCTCCTGTATTGCCTTCTACAAAACTAAAACATGATTGGTGTGAGAGGGGTTATACCAGGTTATAACAAGGTACAAGAATCCTGTTTTCCTGACCACTGAACTAAGCTCCACCTTTCCACCAGTGAAAGCATTGAGTGCCCAATAACTGTCTGTGGACATGTGGATGGGGCCAGATACCTTAAAGATACCTTAAAGAAGGTATTCTAGACTCTGGGTAAAAGCTGGACCTTAAAAAAAAAAACAAATTCTACATGCCAAAATATTTGCAGAGCAGAATAAAATATTTAAAGATAGAGTATAATACTAGCTTCCCACCTTCTGGCTTCCTTTGTCTGATTTACATGAATCACCTCTTGTATTGGGGACAACCTACAACTGAGGCAAACTGGATTTCCCCTCATTTTTTTTCTTGGTGACAGTGGTCACCAAAACAAAACGATGGGTGAATCTTGTCAGAGGGGACACAGCAATAAAAACTTGACATGGGGTCTAACCCTTCCCTACCCAAAACGGAAAACAATGGTTTGTCTAGAGATTCAGTTTAACTTGTGTGAGTAAGTTTCAGCTAAGCTCGACCTGCTCAATTGATTAAAGACTACATATATTTACAGCTACAGTATATACCTCTACCAGTGTAAAAGCACTCGCCTTGTAGCACTTACTGTTAGGCTTTAACTTAGAATTTGCTGTTTTAAATGCCATATTATTGTCATTGTTAAATTTAGCAAATGTTTAAAGGCATCACACACACACCAGTAAATACTTTGGATAGCACCATGAGCATAACACTCAAGCTTGTGCTGTCATGCAAAGGAACTTGAAGTGTGCTGGTATTTTTAGAGATTTCTAATTGATTTGTAAATTTTTCCTAATTAAATGTTCCTTTTCCCACAGATTCCTTGTACACAGGTACTCCGTCTTGAGGGAGAATGCAGATACTCTAGGAGATGAGCATTTGGATTCAAACATTGGTGCAGCTCACAGAAGCAGTGGTTTCCATGATGACTCTGATGAGGTAGCTTAACATGCTATGGATTGGAAACTACGTTTACTTTACTATTAAACTATTTTGTTTATATTCAGTTCATTTTTGTAGAAGTCAAGCAAACAAATATGACATAAGATTTACCTATCAAAGCCCAAAGCCAGTCAAATCCTTGTATTTCATATGGAAAAAAAACAGGAAATGTTAGAGCTTTCTGCAATTTCTCTTTTACTTCCTGTCCGGACACAGTCATGAAAATCTCATCTGTGGTCTAGAGCTCTTGATCTCCATGTGAGAATCCCCACATAAGTGTCTTGTCAGATGGAACACTATTGAATTGGCAGTTCTCCAAATAGGAATAAAAAAAAAAAAACATCCATAAACGTGGCTCTGAGTTATCAAGAAAGAGATGATGCATAGGAATTTATAAGGCACTTTTTATTGCATTTGTTTCATAGCCCTAAAGAAGGGGTCCCTTTTGAACCCTTGAAACATTGACTTTTCTTTTGAATGCAAGAATTTAATAAAGAAAAAAAGAATTAATAAAATACTTTTTACTAGACACAATAGAGATGGCATTTTCCCCCTGATATCTTTGACCCGTAAAATAAATATATAAGTACACACATAAATATCTAAATAGCCATTTTCAGCAAACCACTTTCAAAACCATAACTGGTTATTTGATGATTGAGGTAATATTTAAGATGGAGCAGGAGAGGTGCAGAAAGCACAGATCCACAGAATGAATAAAACAAAAACTGAGAGACCCTTGAAACTTTCTCTTTAGCAAGAACAGTGAGGAGCATAGTAGTGACCTCACCAAATATTACTCTAAATTTTTGAAGTGAAGACTTGAAGTCAGAGGCAGGAATACATTAGGTCAAATATAATGCTGAATGTACAGAAGTGCTTAGGCATAAGAAGTGCACTGCTGTTTTAAAGGAAGAATTTAAAGCGGATGTAAAGTTACAAAAATAAAAAAACTGCTGGGAAGTGGAGATTTTTGGCAGTGGAGACATACCATTACACTGTGATATGGGGAATTATAGTTTCCTAAAATCATTTTCCATTCTGAGCCCTTCAGTAAGTTATAAGTCACAAGCTAAATTTCACCTTGAGCTAATGTATGCAAGCAGGCCTTTTTTGACAGGCTGTGAAAGGAGGTAGGGTGCTAAACTTGCTAGCTAACCCCCCCCCCCCCCCCACAAAATAATATTTCTGTAGCTGGGCTTTAAATGTTTTGCTTCTATACCATTTCTCGTCTTGCCATTCCTTTTGATCAGTTTTTATATACTTTGTCTCTTACAGGTGAGCAGAGCTGACATACTAGTTGTTGGTGCTGGTAAAGCGGAGATGGTTAAAGGCGAATGGATCAAGCCTGGTGCTATTGTGATTGATTGTGGCATTAACTACATACCAGGTAAGTACTGAGTGCTGCTTGTAATATACGGTGTCGGCTGGTATCTGAGGCTAGAGAGAACAGTGACTGCCCCC